TTTTTTTTTTTTTTTTTTTTTTTTTTTTTTTTTTTTTTTTTTCAGAAGCCAAATAATGTAAACTCAGGAAGAAAATCTTAGTCAAGAGAACACCCATGGATTGTTTTTTGTCATGTCATCCTACTTTGAGGATGGAGCTGGAGAGTGTCATATCCAAGCACCATATCCAAGCATCATGATAACTACAGTTTTTGGCAACACATAAATATACAGTTTTTCTAAATGTAATGGAAACCTCTGATTAGGTGTCACAGGTCTGTGGTGTCTAAGTTCAAAGGGATTCTGGATTCACTTGGCGTGGACATTATTTTTTATTTGTATATTATAAATTTTTTTATTTGTATATTGTATATTTACATGTACACRCAWATGCMCACATACACACTCCCATATTACACRCACCAAAAAATTATACCATACACTCATTAAATTCGTCCTCAGAGACCAGATTTCAACATGGTGACAACCAAAAAAGAAATCCTTTGTGTCTGAGTTGTATTTTAAGGAACTTRTGTGCTCAATCTTTAGGAACAATCAGGCGCCACTAAGGCAAGTTTCCACAGCTGAAACTGGGAGGAAGAAGGCCAGTGAAACCAAAGCACATTTATTTCTCTGAAACTTTATTTTTATAAAGTGTGTCCTTTAGCTCAAATCTAGTCCAAATAGAGGAGTTAATAGAGTACTTTTAACCTCTAATGATAAGGTGTGATTAAGCAATTTCTAATTGCCTTTTTCTAATATCAGGAGATGTTCTGCTAATTAAGGAAAACATGGATGGTAACATTTTGTTCTGAGCCTGTCAATGCTGCACAATGGTGAGTACTGAAGTTTTGTTTAATTTTTCACCTTGGACTGTTAGAGAAAATCTGAATATTGTTGATGCCCTTAAGATAACTAAAGGTTCACATTTATATGGAAAGAAACCTGGCTGTGAAACAATGGGGAATTGTGTTTGGCTTTTGGGGGAAGAAAAGTAGCAAGTGGGATCAAGCTGAAACTGAGTGGGAAATGAAGGAATGGAAATGAATTGATGAGGCTGCCACATGTCCTTCAAAAGCATAACTAGAATTTTCAGGGGCAAATCCTGACATCCTGTTTCAGCATATGTGGAGACTCCAATTTACTGTCACATTTGCTGTACAACATTTGAGGATTTTAGCTCAGAATCTAAGTCCAGAAGTTCAGTCACTTACATGAGTTTGCATTATGATTTTTCATTTACAACTTGGCCAAGAGTCAGGTGTTTGCAGAAGGCTCCTATTCCATTACATAAAAAGCCTTCCTGTTGAAGGGTTCACTAGAGAGACTGCTGAGAGGATGGGGTTTTACTCAGCTGAGAATTACAGCTTTGACCAATGTGGAAAACCAAGATCTTTTGCAGCATTTAAATATGTAATATTAGCAGGTTTTGAAACACTGCTGTGCCTCTCTTACCTGGCAGTAAAGACAAAGCTGKGCTGAACAGACCTTCTGCTGTTGGTAGCAGCTTTCCTAGCACACAGCTTCAAAGCAGAATGATAGTAAACATTTTCTAGTAATCTACACCTATGTAAATCTTTTAACATGGTTACAAAATCAATAGGATTGTAATGACTATTATAAAGCTGCTTCCTACTAAAAATCAGGAAACATAACCTGCACCCATACTGATGTCATTGTGAAAAATGCCTGACATTGCTATGACAGCACAGGATCATAGAGGAGATCCTCCCTGGCACTCCTCCCTGCTGGCTGTCAGCCTTCTGCTGAGCAGGACATCAATGGATGGAAACTTTCCATTAATGCAAGAAAGAAAGGAAAAGCCCTTCAGCTCTTCTCACATGTGCAGTCTCAATGAGAAATGTTTAAGTTGGGTGGTTTTTTTTTGCTCCAAAGGAGCAATTTTAAAATAAGGATAAACAGGTGCTCTGGCATCTCAACAAAAAATTCTGTGATGACTCATTATGATGCAAGTCTGTGCAGAATTGCCTTATTTACATGTATCAGTATGGAGGCCTGTCACACTTACATTCTCTTTCCATTTTTCTGTGAATATCATTTACCTAAGCCCAGACAGTCTGATGATTCAGAGCAAATACAAGTCATGAACTCAACAACTATCCAGCTTTATATAGTTTATCCAACTATCCAACAGAGTGGGACAAGAGCATCCATCTCCCCATGAGATATGGATCTAAACAGGTACAGGGGACTATCTTTGTACCTGGGATGGTTTCCCTTCTAATTTCCCTTAAAGAGACTGTGGATTACCAGTTTGGATATTGGCARCTGTGTTGTACATGTTTAAAGGTAGGCATTATGAATCCCCATTAATTTTCTCTGGAATGGTATAGTGCTGTTTCTAAAAACCTCTTGTGAAAAAAGCCTAAAGAGGCTTTTTTGCATACTTTAGTTGCTTTCACAGGGTAGTGTCTTTTGTTATTTCTGGTAGAAGGCAACAGTGAGCTGTCTTAAAACCTATAAGGTTAGAAGAAATTTGCCCAGAGAGTGACTTGGAGCAGTTTCCTCCCAGAATCTGGGGGAGAAAGCAAATAAATTATGGCTGTAGGGCTAAGCTGCATTTTTCAAGAGCAACATATGCTGTGGTCCACTTCTAAGCTACCTTCTTGGGGTTTCTCTAATTTCACATGCAAAAAATAGACAACTCACATATCAAGTTTAATCTGATGATCAAGAGGTCACACAGAGACAGTGCTACGGGTGACAAACTGCCCTATGGGCCATTGTAGAACTTAGTAGGTGAAGTGAGAGAGTTATGCTAAGAAAACTGGTGCAGATTTTGCTAAAGTTTTGCTGAAGAAAGCTGTATGATGCTGTGTTGGTTRAGCAACCACAGGCAGCTTCAACAAAGTTCTTCCCAGAGCAAAAGCTGCAGATGGCTGAAAWATCTGAATTGCTGCAAAACACAGATTTCTCCTGTTTCCCACTAGAAGAGACTTCTAGCTGCTATGTGCTGGTCTGGAAAGAACAAGGTGCTCTTAGTCTCAGTTTTGCTCTGAATTTGGCACATGAGTACTTAGCCCTCTCAAACTGCCACATGATGCAGTTTCATGACAGATCATAAAAGAGGAGAGATGCAAACCCACAGCCAGAGGGTTTGCACAAGGTCACTGTTCTGTGGAGAGCTGGAAGCTGGAGCACACACTCACCTATCTCCTGCATGATTTCGTSCATTTTATGTCAGCAGATGATTTGGGGCAGCTCCAGCTGCCCTGGGGAGTCCCAGCCCAGCAGTGGGGCTGTGGCACTGCATGGTCGGGCAGGAAGAACTCACCCCAACACAAAGGGCTGCAAGACAGAAACCAGACCCATTCTTCACATTCCAGGTGGGAACTGATGAATCTGCTATGGAGCATCTGCCTGAAATACTGCTACTTGTCTATTCTAACCCATGTGCTCGGGAAAAAATCATTCTCACAGCCTACAAGCAGAGCTGGAAAGATTTACACAAAGAGGCTGGAAAATGGGTATCATAAGTTTGTCTTTATACTGCCAGGGGATTTCCTTTACACAGGGAGATTCATTCCCAGATTCCCCTGAGCAAAGCATGGCATCTGGAGCAGCTGAAGCATCTGCTTAGTATCCTTTCATATTAACTCAAGCTAAAAAAATGGTTGTTATATTGTCAAACAATATTAATATTCTGCAGTTGTATGTTGTGTTGCTTTTATGATAGTAGCATATTTTTTCTGAAATATTTTGCATATCATTTACTAAAGTACCCTCAATCAGTGCAGACGTGATTCTGGGCTCCCATCTGGTTTATACCACTGTAATTTCAATTACTTCATCACAGGAAGTCACTGTTTTATACAACCAAATTAATCAGAACTAAGTCTTGCGTCTCAGCATCTTAGACAAACAGGAGAGAGTTTGTACATTGAAATTATAATTTGAATTTAATTTAAGGAGGTCAGATTGTTCAATATACCTACTCCCATGAACAGAGAACTTGAAGAAAATTGGTGCTATAATATCTCTGAGAACTAGTTGTTACACATGAATACAAATTATTTTGCAGCAGTAACCCTGCAATTACATGGTTATTGTTGCAGTAAAGGACAATGAGAATTCTTGTATTTCAATCCTCRTCATTTTTGTGCCTATTGGATGATCTTCAAATAATTTTTTGCAATCACTTATTTGAGAAGAGTGATAGCTCTACATAAAACAACATGGGAAAAAATTAGCTAGRTTAAGCAGAAGAGAGCACTTTTAAGGTTTTGCATTTCTCTGYCCTTGCAAAGGGGCCCTCACCCTTCCACATCATACAGGAAAATAAATCAGGCCTACATACTTTATGAAGGCTTGTTGGTTGATTTTGATCCACTCTTCTCCATGGCATTCAGGAAACTGGTGAATGTTTCTATGGTATTTCTAAAAWCATCTTATTTTCTTACAGGTTTGTATGAGTGCAGTTCTTGTGAACCTGCTTTGGGGAATCTGTACTGGTTAAAATAGAGTTGCACAATCCCCAGAGATCATGTTTAAAATATGAGTTCCCTCTAAACTTAAATCCTTATTTGCAGTTGTAAAATGAAACAGGAAAGTCTTTGGTGTAACAGGTTTGTTTTTTTTCCCCCCAGATGAGTACAGGCTTCTGACAAATCACCTTGTTTTTCCTTCCATGGGCAAGGGAAAGAAAGAAAGCCATTTTAAAATGGCCTATTATAACATAGCCAAAAGCACAACATGGTAAATCAGTCACCATTTCAAGTCTCTGTGAGTCAGTCGTGCCTTTATTGTTCATTTAGAAGCCTCGTTGTTGGCAACTTTGCCTGTTATTGTCCTTCTGGAAGTACCTGGCAGCAGAAAACGTCAAAAAACGATGCAAGACTGTTAATCTCTGTTGTTGGGTGTTTACTGCTTGGGGTCTGTTGTGCTGTAGCATCTTGCAATGCGTAACACCATGTTCAGCATCACGCTTTCCACAAACTGCCTGCTTCCTTTATGGCTCCTCTGTGGCCTCTTCTGCTTTCTGAGAGCAATAGGATGTTTTGAGACATGCTCTATTTTTTTATTTTATTGCTCTTGGTGCAATACCTCCCTCTCTCTCTCTCAATATCTCTTAAATTACTCTGGTTGCTACAGCAACCTTAGGCCTCAGCAGGATGYTGCTGCAGGAGGTGTCTGACATGGCAGAGCCTCTGCCTGCCCAGCTCGCTGTGCTCAGAGCTCACTGGTGCCTGCTCTGTCCCCCCACAGCTGGCTTCAGAAATCAGCTGGCTTTGCCTTTGGCACTTTCAGTTCACAGTAACAATGTTAGCTGTTACAGGAATTCCTAGGCTCAGTATCTCCAGCTCTTGTCTTTGCTGAGAAGTGGCCACCTCCTTTCAGCCTCTGCCTCTGCACCCTCTGCTTCTGATGAATGTGTCAAGAGCAGGTGCAGTCTCATAGACACTGTAGCATATTTTTCAGGAAAAGATATATCACAGCAGTTTTGAGGAGGGTATGAAATGGGTGTGGAGAGAGGAGAAACCC